CACTATGGAATGAGCTTCATACCGAAAAATGTGGTACACAAAATGCTAATGGTGTCTCGAGTTTTCGCAAAAACTCTCACATCTCAAAATCAATGATAGCATAGCTTTTCACTGACAATTCGGCTGGTTTTCATGCCTAGAAAAACGATAGGATTTAATGTAATTTTTTTACTCTACTTAATATTCAAGCCAACTTACATGGTCACATTATTTGATATGGCCCGTGCGGGGCTCCTTGAAGTCTAGTCAATGATAAAACTGGATCAAATGTTTTGTAGCAAGTCTAGTGAATGTTACACATAATGTACATAGTTTTTGCTTGTATGTCATGTATTTGTGTAAAAGCGTCCTATCGTTATATATATATATACATACACATATATATACATATATATATTAATTATTATAAATTATTATTATTTATGAGGGTGGTTTTTGTGTGGACGATTCCACCACGCACACGGTGACTCCCAATGTCAACTTGGCTAGATCTAATATAACAAACTAATGTATGTGACACACTGTTCTCTGTATAAATGAATTTTGTGATGAGGCGATCGCAGAAACCAAAAGTTTCATTTGTAATATAGTCGTGAAATATTGTACGGTGTACTATCTGTGCACGTCTAACATTTTACATGTGGTTATTATGTATATAGTCCTGCTCTTACTGTTGTACTAATTGTTGTACAATTGCTTACTTTATCTATTTTTTTCAATCAAAGCACGGAGGTTACTCATCTTGTATAACTTACGTCCAAAAAAACACTTGCATTGTGTAAGAGAAATAAGGCATAAAATACCCCTATTACCATCGTGAAAATTACACTACACTAAACCTTTGGGTACAGGTGTGATTGCATGATTGTATCATCAAAATTAAATGTAACAAAGCTGATTTTAAAATGCCAGACATTGATTACATTGCATAGATCTTGTATATGTACAATTATTTAAATAACAATCTAGCTATACATTCCTCACAAATGTGTGCAATACGATTCCTCCACATCTGATTACTGTCAGTACATGTGTATGTTAAACAATTCTTGACTTGTCTGTGAACTAAAATAAATCATATTTGATAGAAATCTCTTTACAACATGATGAACTACATTTGTACTGCAATAGTGTTTATTTTTCATGACATAAAATTCAAATTTCGTGGACCACCTACGTGTTTAGTTTTTGCACAGTGATAACTCTTCGTGTGCAGTTCAATCAACTACTACCAGGTATAATGCAATGTGAAACAAACACAGGCATACCACGACATTTCTCACGAACGCTTTTCAAATACACTTGTGGAAGCTGCTCTGCCTAGTTGTATGGGTAGAGACGTGTAGCTATGGGCCAGGTCAAATCTGAAATAGAACCGTCTCACTGTGAATATACTAAATGGCCTTATAATCCACGACAATCACACAGGCATGCACATATGCACGCATACACGCACGTACGCACGCACGCACGCACACTCACACACACTAATGTTATAAAGGCATGTTATTACAAAGGTAACATCAACGCTGACCTGCATCCAGTACGACGTTGAGTGGGCTGTCGTAAGCCTCAAGGTACTGAGAAGGTGTGCACAGCTCTTTGCTTTGTAGAAGATAGACAATCACATCTGCAGACATAGAAGGAAGAGAAATGCCTTTAATTTGAGCAGAAAACAGAAATTCGTACCACAATAAATGTGTAGAAAATAGAGCAATAACTTAGTAGGGCACTGAAATGCATAACCCGAAGTGAATCGCCCCATCTTCATATGACCACTTTCGTGCAACATTTTAATTACGTAGAATTAATCAGTTCCTGAACTTGAAATTCATGGTTAACATACAATCTCAAATAATACAAATTTGAACACATGTAGGTTCGTTCATAGCTTTAATAAAACATTTTAGATACCCAGCTTATCTCGATATGAATTTTAAACCAGCTAGGACATGCCAGGGAAGCCACTACTACATTTATAAGCGTGAAATGAGTGCATATGTTCCAGATGAAGTTGAACCCTGCCTGACAATAGAACAAAACGAAGACTATACAAAATAATAGCAACACATGTCCATTTACTAACAAAATATTCACCTTGCTGTAGTAGCAATTCTGGCACCTTTTCTTGAAGAGAGTCTAATACAGCCTTCCTGTGCACCTTTAAACATACATAAAGTACCATTATTTGTTTAATCTACAGATATTGCGCAATAAAGTGACTAACTATGACCTGTTCACATCTATGTTACTCCATACTGTCCTGCTGTACAGACAGCTGAACTACCACCCTGAACTACCAAGTTAAAACATCGCAATATGGGATTATGACCTTTGGTTGCTTAGCAATGTGGCTGCCAAGTTTAAGTAGCGTTGTCAGGCTCTCTATGACTGTAGTCTCAATCGTTTCATGAGTCTTATATTCTTCTAGTCGGGCCAAGGTCATTGTCAATACTCTATATTGCCAGGTTTCATACAGGCGGCTAGGGATGTGAACACGTGTTAAGGAACAATGATGTAGATATACTATAATACAGATACGTGTAAAGCGCTATATATGCAACACGAGATGCCACACATCCTGACAGAAATTCATTAAATCTACCTTTCCTGCCTACTGACCATCACTAATAATCACACACACACCACTTGCAATCTGTGGATTGATTAAAATAACAGAGTATGTCACAGAACCCTGTAGAACTACTACAATATACTGTCATTACACTAATAGATAGCATTTACAGATGGAACTCTATTTTTACCATTTAACTAACGTGAGTAAGGATATATCATGAGAAACAATAAGTACTTTGGTCTCTATAAAAAGACCAGTCATATTGCTGGTTTGCCCATCCAGTCCTCTTATCATCTGCATTAACATTTCTGATGAACCCTGCAATAAAAAAAACTTGAATTTTAAATGCAAGCAAACACAAAGAAACATGACCTATATTACCTATGTATATACTTGCTATGGGTACCTATGGGTACACTTGCTGTTCCGTTTTAGATTTGCTACTTGCAGTGTGACATTAATGTCCAACATGGTACGACACCAAGAGCTAAGACTAATTAATACATTTGAAACTATTAGTATTACCTTATCTTGGTGCAGAGGTACATTAAAATATGTAGTTTCTTTATTCTTCTATAGATTATAACATGAAAGAATAACACGAAGGAAATGACTAATGACTAAAAAATTATTACAATCCACATGTTTATCCTTATTGTCTCTATTTAAAAAAAAAGATACAAAACGCTCCATTTTAAGTGTCTATTCTATTTTAGGTGCTACTTATTACAGGCTCATACACCTATGGGTCACCTATCATAATCAACTCTCAGGTGTGAACAACCTCCACTTACCCCCCCCCCCCATATAGTAATTGCAAACAGAGATCTGTGATAAAGTGCCGCCATCTACTGGCAAAAATATTTGGAAATAAACTAATCCATATATATGAAGATATTTTTAAACAGCACTGAAGACTTACCTCCATAATATGTACTACATGATTTTGGTATATAAGAAGCAGGCCAGTGATGTGTTCCCCTTGCAAGCCATTGCTCGCATGTGCAGCCCTCAACTGTTTTTCATAATATGCTGAAGTGAAACAAAACAATAAACATTACACATTATTTGCTAAGCACTATAGTTTAGTATTAGCACTTTATGTGGCGTACAGAAATTTCTAGTGCTTAATAATTCAGAAGAGTAGAGTGGCTCAATCATCATATATTACATCCCTAGTATAATATCATAATAAATACAAATAGTATTATGATAAGAGCTCAATTAAAGCTGCACTTACGCCCCAACTCATCTCTGCCTGTCTTGGGGCTTCTGAACTTTGCAAGATATACTAGCCTATGCAGCATAGACTTCTGCACAAAAATAAAAACACATCTATTTTTTTAATTGATCATGAATTTAGCATTTTAAATTAAGCTCTACATTGTAACCGTTTATTTACGAGTATCGTCACTATGTCTTTTCGCCTTTTCGTATTTTTCTTCTACGTCTTCCCCTCTTAATCTTCCTTCTCCTCCTCTTCCTTCAGCTCCATCTTCTCCCCTTAGTCCCTCTTCCACCCTCATCCTACAGCATCTCCTTCTAATTCTATATCTTCTGGACAGACTACAGACTAATAGTCCACTGGTCTGTCCAGAAGACATAGAATTACAAGGAGATGATGTAGGACGAGGGTGGGAGAAGGACTAAGCCTAAGCCCAAGGGGAGGAGGATGAGAAGGGGGCGCTGAAGGAAGAATATGAGATGTGTATATAACAATATGTGTAGTCTGGATGCACTGCTTAACCATAGTACGTCGTTATAGGACCCCAGTACATAAATCTTGTCTTGGCTTGTCTTGTCTGATAGTGATAGTGATAGTGATACTGACACTAATCGCCTGGTGTGGCTATAAACGTACAGGTCATCATACATCGCTTTGATGACCTAGTTTAAATCATTATTATCTCTCTTCGATAATCAATACGAGGTTATGTCTTATGAATATGAGGCTAGTACTTGTACCTTACTGAGCGATCTATTTCTTTCTTCGATTACGTCGAGAAGAGTGGTTCTTTGGGCATCATAAACTGAATCTTCTAGAACATCGTTAACTACTGCAGCCATGTCGTAGCCAGTGCAACCTCCTTAGCCATAGACCATGCAGCAG